CAAACACCTGGATTGAGGATAAGGAGTGTCTCTGGGTTGCGGGGTTCAATTTCTTTAGATAATGTGGTCGGATTTGGCGAAGATTTCCGTTCTAAGGTTGCAATTTCGGTCTCTTCCCGACGAGGAAGAGGTAGCAGATTTGTTCCAAAAGCAATGTTTGAGCGCTTCACAGAAAAAGCAATTAAAGTAATTATGCTTGCCCAAGAGGAAGCCAGACGGCTCGGCCATAATTTTGTTGGTACTGAGCAAATTTTATTGGGCCTTATTGGTGAAGGTACCGGAATTGCTGCGAAAGTTCTTAAATCCATGGGAATCAATCTTAAAGATGCACGTGTAGAAGTGGAGAAGATAATTGGAAGGGGCAGTGGTTTTGTTGCTGTGGAGATTCCATTTACTCCTCGAGCAAAACGTGTTCTGGAACTCTCATTGGAAGAAGCCCGCCACCTTGGTATCTCTCTATATATTTTCTACTTTTCGATTTTAATTATTTTACCACATCTTTTAAACTGGGAATTTAGCTAGCATGGAGAGCTACTGTATTATCAATTTTCATTTGGCTTTCATTTTATTTGTGTTGGTTATTCAAATAACAAAAGATGTGAATCAAATTGCCATTTGACTTAACCTATAAGAATATCATTTCACATGATGAAAGAGATAAAAAGAAAAAGTAGTATTAAAGGATTATTGTGGTTGTGGGGAGCCTATTCCTTCATCTTTAAATGAGCATGGAGTTTAGGTGTATGCTTTTAGCTTGTCTCATCAAATCCCTAAACACTAGCTAGGACTTACTCCTGTCTTCATTTGGTTTATAATGCATGCTCTCTGGACTTGGAAATTTTACTTTGATTAACCATTTAATCTTTTTTTATGAAAATTTCAGGCCATAATTATATAGGATCAGAGCATCTTCTTCTTGGATTGCTTCGAGAAGGTGAAGGTGTAGCAGCCCGTGTTCTTGAGAATTTAGGTGCTGACCCAAGTAATATCCGCACACAGGTAAGAAATTCTTTTATTGATTTGATCTTTTTTCAAATTTCTGTTTTTTTTTTTTTTCAATATAAAAAACTTAAGGGGTTTAATCATCCATTTGATTGACTAGGTTATTCGCATGGTTGGTGAGGGCAATGAAGTTAGTGTTGTTTCTGGGGGATCAACTGGCAACACAAAGATGCCAACACTTGAGGAATATGGAACCAATTTGACTAAACTAGCTGAGGAGGTAAGAAATTTGTTTATCTGTTTTATCATCCAAGTATATGTATGTGCTATTTTCTAAGCAGTATTTTCCGACTTTCAGGGTAAATTGGATCCTGTTGTTGGGAGGCAGATTCAAATAGAACGTGTTGTCCAAATATTGGGTAGACGGACCAAAAATAACCCATGTCTTATCGGAGAACCTGGTGTTGGAAAAACAGCAATTGCAGAAGGCCTTGCTCAACGTATTGCTAGTGGTGATGTTCCTGATACAATTGAGGGAAAGAAGGTGCATACATGCCTCTCAGCATTAAAAACATTATACCTTAGCTCAGGGATTAAAAGAATTGATCGTAATTTAATTTTGTTTTTCATGTTTTTGGATTTGTGCTGCAGTTCTGACATGCAAATCTGGTAATAGTTTTGCATGTTCTCATTTAGAATTGCGTCAAACCTACATCAATTTTGCACAATTTGCATACTAAATTGCTGTGTAATGCACGTATAACATCAATCTGCGTTATGGATAATTTTTCCCTAGAATTTTTACTGCATTAATATACATGACATGAAACAGTGTTGGTCACTAGAGATTTTGGTTGCTTAAAATTTGGAGTTTTATGTTATTACTTTAATCAAATTTGAGATATCTCAAACTATAAGGGTCTTGCCCAAAGGCAGCCAAAAAAAATTACAAGAGCTTTCAAAAATTGTCATTTTTTGTACTTTTTTTTTTCCCAGTGAGAAGTGTGCATTTATGGCTGTTTTCTTATTAGGTTACAACACTTGATATGGGTCTCCTTGTTGCTGGAACAAAATATCGTGGAGAGTTTGAGGAAAGATTGAAGAAACTAATGGATGAAATTAAGCAAAGTGATGAGATAATATTGTTTATTGATGAGGTGCACACCTTAATTGGAGCAGGAGCTGCAGAAGGTGCTATTGATGCTGCCAATATCTTGAAGCCAGCTCTTGCTAGAGGTGAATTGCAGGTAAATTTTGTTCTTAGAATGGGGATTGTACCGTGTGTATTTTATGTTTTGGTAGCAAACAAAGGAAGGAAATGGGAAAGCATCTGTGAGTTTTGCCAGTATTTTCTAAGTTGGATTGGCTTGGTGCTGCATAATAATATACTACTCGAATTTTTCTTCACAATTTCACTAAATGATATAATCTTTTGGAGACTACAGTTGATTGTTATATCTCACTTCAATCTGAATTATTTGGGCCCTACCTATTGCTTGCTTATGTTGGATATTTCTATTTAGCAAGGTGTAAGTGAAGCATATTGTTATATCTCGTATTTGTGCTACTGTTGAAGTTATAGTATTGGGGTAATGCAACCTATTGTCTCTGTTATTTTAACAAAATCTGGCTGTTTCTTATATATTTTATTTGAATTCATGCAGTGTATTGGAGCTACAACACTCGATGAATACAGAAAGCATATCGAGAAAGACCCAGCTTTGGAAAGACGATTCCAGCCAGTTAAAGTGCCTGAACCATCTGTGGATGAAACTATACAGATTTTGAAAGGTTTGCGAGAGCGTTATGAGATTCATCACAAGCTTCGTTACACAGATGAGGCCTTAATTTCTGCTGCACAGCTGTCATACCAGTACATCAGGCATGTGGTCACCTTATTTTCATAAAGTATTTTCATAATTGCTTAGTCACTGAAATGGAAGTGCAGTTTTTTTCCTCACCTTGCTTTCTATATGCTTCAGTGACCGTTTTCTACCTGACAAAGCAATTGACTTGATTGATGAAGCCGGTTCTCGTGTTCGTCTTCGTCATGCACAGGCATGCTTATGTTACAATCTAGTCATAAGTGATTCTTATTTGCCTTTCTTTCTCAAGTTGATTTGATGATATTATTGTTGTTGCAGCTCCCTGAGGAAGCTAGAGAGCTTGAAAAAGAGCTCAGGCAGATCACAAAGTCAAAGAATGAAGCAGTTCGCAGCCAGGACTTTGAGAAGGTACAAAAGTGTTAAGAGTTTTCATGGGGCCATTTTTTGTTGATTTCTTTTAGAGGGTGGATCAAAATATTTTAATGGTCCTTCTCTGGGTCCTATCTTCTTCTTGTTGGATTGTGTGATGGCCTCAAAGATTTGTTATCTTATGACGCTGTTAAGTGGCAACCATTGTTTTTCTTTTTCGATTTTGACAATCTTTGGTTTAGCTTAATTCATATCACAATACATTCTTTTGTACAGGCCGGGGAATTACGTGATCGAGAAATTGAGCTTAGGGCTCAGATCACTGCAATCCAAGAGAAAGACAAGGAGATGAGTAAGGCGGAGGCAGAGGCAGGGGATGGAGGTCCTGTTGTGACGGAAGTGGATATTCAGCATATAGTCTCTTCATGGACTGGTATTCCTGTTGAGAAAGTATCAACTGATGAATCTGATCGACTCCTTAAGATGGAAGAGACTCTTCATAAGCGAGTCATTGGTCAGGATGAAGCTGTTCAAGCCATTAGCCGTGCTATTCGACGTGCACGTGTTGGACTCAAGAATCCCAATCGGCCAATTGCTAGCTTCATCTTTTCTGGACCAACTGGTGTAGGTAAGTCAGAACTAGCAAAGGCTCTAGCTGCTTACTATTTTGGCTCTGAAGAAGCCATGATTCGACTTGATATGAGTGAGTTCATGGAAAGACACACAGTGTCCAAGCTAATTGGTTCACCTCCTGGGTATGTTGGTTATACTGAGGGTGGTCAGCTAACTGAGGCTGTTAGAAGACGACCATACACTGTAGTACTTTTTGATGAGATTGAGAAGGCCCATCCTGATGTCTTTAACATGATGCTTCAGATACTTGAGGATGGAAGGTTGACTGACAGTAAAGGAAGAACTGTGGATTTCAAGAATACCCTTCTGATAATGACATCTAATGTTGGAAGCAGTGTAATTGAGAAGGGTGGCCGACGGATGGGATTTGATCTTTTTGATGATGATGAGAAGGACAGCAGTTACAATAGAATAAAGAGCCTGGTGACAGATGAACTGAAGCAATATTTCAGGCCCGAGTTCTTGAATAGATTGGATGAGATGATTGTTTTCAGACAGCTCACCAAGTTGGAAGTGAAGGAGATAGCTGATATAATGCTTAAGGAGGTGTTTGACAGGCTTAAAGCCAAAGATATAGAGCTTCAAGTGACTGAAAGGTTCAAAGAGAGGGTGGTGGAGGAAGGGTACAACCCAAGCTATGGAGCAAGGCCTTTGAGAAGAGCCATCATGAGACTTCTCGAGGACAGCATGGCTGAGAAAATGCTTGCTAGGGAAATCAAGGAGGGCGATTCAGTAATTGTGGATGTTGATTCTGACGGAAACGTTACAGTTCTCAATGGCAGCAGTGGTACTCCTGAGTCATTGGCTGATCCAATTCCAGTTATGTAACCAAATAGCCTTTTTTGATATGTTGTCTGTACCTTTTCTTTTTCATTGAACTGGCTATACTAGTTGCAGTCTGTTTTCTTGTAAGGACTACTTAGTAGTAAAATTGGAAGCCATTGATTACTTGTCTGTGGACATTGAAGCTGTATTTCTTACACTAAATCGCATGCATAGTTGGAAGGAGCAAAGAAGGATGCTGGTAGGGTTAGGTTGGCAGTTTACTTCACAATAAAATGTATGGATATATTTGTTTGAATTAGATGGAAATGCATTCAAAATGTTTTTATGGTCCTTTTCTTATATTCGAACATGAATCAATACCTTCAGGTTGTTCTTTACTGATCCACATCTGGAAACTTGTCCATATTTGGAGCTGGTAGGACAGTTATGCTTTTGGTGGGCATTGCAGGATTATATCTTGTAAATTCTTTGCTTCTTGCATAATAAATAATATGCAACATCTGCAAAGCCTGGAATTGGCTCTGTTTACTACATAACAGACGACCCTCTTTGAACCTAGCAAAGTTATATGATCCTATGGTGAAAATAACAGTATATAATAGAAATAACAAATCACTGACTAATTGCGTTTCATTTATTTTATTGAGTGAAAACAATGGTTAATGCAGTCTAAAAATAATTTTAAACCAAGAATACCCTGTCTTGATCCGCTTACAGTAACAAGGAAAATATCTCTGTAAAGACAAAGTTAATTTTCTTTCACCCATGTAAGATATTACAAAATGGGATTGAGAAGAGTTGAACTCACGCCTATAGATTGGCAAGAGCAGCAGCCAATTCAGGAATTGATAATTCCTTAGGGTTTCCATTGCAACAAAAAGAAAGTTCTGCTGCTGCTCATCCATAACTGAATGAGACTGTCTCTATGTGGGGCTTACGCTCCCACCACGGTTCATTTTGAGCGCATCCAAAGTTTTTTGCATCTCCATGGTCATTGCACTGTCCACACTCCCTGAAGACAGCTTCTTGTGTGCTTTCTGCAAATGAACCTTGAGCGAGCTGCTGCTCAAACCAGCATTCTTCCCACAAATTGGACAGACTTTCATCATTGGTTTTCGTGGATGCCACTCCATTGAAACCTTCCCATGCTGTTCCCGATCAAGATCCAATAGAATCCTTGCAAACCCATCATTTGGCTGTGCTCGACGGTGAACTCGCTTGAGAGCATTCCAAGCTTCTAATAAAGTTAAGTTCCTGCCCATGATAGCTAAAATATTTGACTTGATAGAAAAAAAAAAAAGCTACAGTCACGCAACATGGTTCCAGTGAAACCTAAGGTTTACTGATATTGGAGGTTGTTTATATAATCAATGTAGCCTTCTATGTTTAAGTTTTCGAAAGTATAAAGCATGACATATTACTTACTTCCGAAGCATCAAGTATGCGATCACTACCGTGGCACTCCTACTTTTCCCTTCGAAGCAATGAACTAAAACCCTTCCACCTATTTGTTCCACATGATCAATAAAATCACAAGCTTCTTCAAAGATACTGCTGATGTTTGAATCTTCATTGTCACATATCTGTTCAATGAGGCATGCTACCAATGTTACGAAAGAAGTTTCCACACAGGTAGTGAAAAACTAAGAAAAGGAATCACAGGGTTGTACAATCAACAACACTTCCTTGGAACCGAGTCTATTGATAGTGTGCAAAAAGAAGAACGCTATTACCATTACCACTACAGTTCTCCACTGCAACAGTTAATGTTTTAGAATTTTTGGTTCAGGTGTATTTGGACTTAAGGACTGATGTCCCATAGAAGAGAAAATAGGCAAAAACTACAATAGGATTTCATCTGGATGCATCAAACAAACCAGGAAACCTTTCTTCATTTGAAACATACTAACAAAAAGTAGAGGGGAAGAAAGTGAAGTACTTACGGAAAAATTTTTGTACTCAAATAGGTCAGGGTACTGAGAGTCTGACTGTCCAATTTCATTGGAGCATAAACACAATATATGAGTAATTCCTAAATGCTGAAGTGTGAAAACAGATCTTGCAGCCAGTGCCCCACCAATGAACAAGCTCCTAGTAATTAAAGAAGGTTTCTCTGTATTAGCAGCCTCAGATATCAATGCTATCCTCTCAAGAATGTGCTCAAGCCTAACCTGTATTTTATAATAGCAAAAAAAGAGACAATTAGTATCTTGCAGAAATGCTACCTCAAAACCTAAGTAAAGCTATCTATCAACTGAATAGAAAGAAGGCCAAGAAGTTGAATGAAGGTATTACCTTCAATTCATAAGCATCGACAACACTGTTATTATCGCTTCCCTCAAAAAATCCTGTATTGAAATTGTTCTCCTGGCAAAGTTTAACAGCATCATTTTTAAGCATTTCATTCCATTGTTCCAAATCTCTGCTTGATTCAGCATCAACCTGAGTGCAAAATAGGATTACACAAGGAAGCATTACAAACAAAAGTTTAACCTAGGGAAAAGTTACCGTAATTCATTTTACAAGGCATTGTCCCGGAGTGGAAAATTCCAAACACTATACTACAAAACATATTTATACAACACATCATAGCATACCAGCTACAGAAGTGATCAAAACTCTTTAAAATAATTTTACACTCCCTACAAGCTTGATGTTATTGTTAAATGCCATAAACACTGATAATTGGCATTAATCCTAGACTCGGTGACAGGAATCCAAGATATTGTTATATCCTTTTCATATTTTTCTACAAGATTGGTTGGTATAGAAGACTCAACCCATGCATATACTATTATCAAGATAAGACTTTGATGTAAAAAACACACACACACATACAAACACAATGGCATTTCAGTAATTTCCATAAATTGTAAATATATCTATTTTCCCTTTTGAGACCGTATGTCTTATAAAATGACATTCCATTTTGTTTACAAGTATGACAAACCTTGGCAAACTTATGGAAGTCTCGGAGCTTTGCAGTCAAACGCAAGCTCCGAAATGGCTCTCCACTACCTTTGTAGAACTTTCCATGCCAGCCTTCTCGTGACATAGGAGAATTAGAGTCCATGCTTTCTCTGTGTCCAGAAGATGATGACTTTGGAGCCGTTCTCTGTAACTCCGAATCACTAGAATCTGATTGGTTATCGCTAAGGACCCGCTCCCTAGTTGGAGTAGATGGGGAAGGAGCAACTCCAAGGCTAGGATGTAATGGTGACTCAGGAACCGCAAAATCCTCCTTGTCTAAGTCCCCTGATGTCTTATTTAAAATCGTCAAAAATTGACGTAACAAGCTATCTAGCTTTTGATGAAGTGTCAGCAGGAATATATGGAATCCCTGCAGATCCCTTAAAGCTGCACGGAATCCACTACGAAATTCCTGAATAACTGAGTTTTTCTCCTTTCCCCGTATATCAGTTGTTTCACCATCTTCTGGTGGCGCAGATCCTAACTTCCCACATGTTATATCATGTAACAAGTTGGAGGAGAAATTAGAACTGTTAAGAAGTAACTCAACCAATTTAGGATAAATTACTTGGTCATTTGCACGTTTTCCAACAGGGGGCCGACGAGGTACACCAGAGTCTATAGCCACAATGGGGGAATTAGAATGGAATGATTCACCGCATGTTGGAGGACTTACTAGGCTCATGTCACTAGATTTTGGTGATACTGTGACATCAGAAAGATCAGAGCTCTGTGATACAAGTCCTTGACTATGAGCACTTAATTTGCTGTCAACTGAAGATGCCCTTCGTTCGTTTTGAATAGCTCTAATCACCCCTGGATGGAATCGCTTGATTGCAGAGTCAAAGGCTTCATCCAAAGAGCCAATATTTGCAGAGCTTGTTTGGTCTGCTAACAACAAATTTGCAGGATTACCACGCCATCTTAGTTGATGGCAAGGGAGTCTATCTTCATTTCTGATGACAAGGTCCAACATCAAGACCCTACCCAGAGCTGCTGCAGTCTCTCTTGAATTAAATGCATTTAAGCTTTCTAACAAAGGGGATCCATGAACATAACTGCAAAGACATGGTTCTTTATGTTCAAAATGCTGCATACAATAATGTAACTATTTTCCTTGGATATCAAGCTCTCCTCTCTAATTGTTCTCAAATTTTACCTAACTATTGTGTGCATAAGGAATCATGACTACTGCGTGCATTAATAATATGATAACCTCGCAGCAATCATGAACCAGTTGCTCCTTCAATGGAGACAACCCTACAATACATTGTTTGATATAAGAATTTTCAGAGCCCAAACTTCTAACTTCTAAGGCTCTTAGTCATGCACCAATCAATGGAATCATATGGCCATAACCACAACCTCAGCTGATTTAATGATCATTACAGTCTAACCAATCCAGGTTTTGTTCTCACCTCATCAGAAAAAGGCATCGGCTGAGCTCTAGTGCCTCCAAAAGTTCTGAACATGTGACTTCACCTATTTCATCTCCTTCTGAGGTTGCTGTAACTCTTGCTTTCTGTGCAGCTTCCTTTATTTGAAGCCACTCTGGGCTAGAATTATGAATTACTCTAGCCTGATCCAGAAGAACAAGCAATCATCAAAATGAGAGTTAAAAAGAAAGGGTAAAGAAATGAAGATAAAACACAAAACGTTCAACAGAGTGTTTGAGGTAAGGTTGGAATTATATACAAATCTGGTAGAATCACAGGACAGCTAACTATAAAGGTATAACCTGAGGAGTCCGGATTCCTAGCCACTTTGCAAACTCATAACCTAGGCGTTCTGATTGCGTGGCCATCCTTGAAGACGCAAACTTTAAAACAGCTGCTGCTTCCTTTGGAGAAGTATCATCAAGCCCAGTTTGGTTGAATAATGCAAAGAAAACAACTCCTCCAGAATTGACAGTAACCTAAATACAGACAACTTAAGATAAATGAGGCAGCGTATACGAATTTAACTAATTAGGAAGTAATTTATCTATGAGTCAAGCAAAGTCTTCACTCTTGCTACATGAACGCATGCCCAGATCTTTGAGCAGACAAAATGCACATGAATTTATTATACAAACTCTAGCAGTTTGACACTTTCATTGTTTATGAATATTTCCCTTGTATTGGTATCTGAAAACTATCTCATACTATTGAATAAACGAATCCATTTAAGGATAAAAAAAAAAATTATATTTGAAGTTAGATGAATTGGAGTCCCATGTAGGAAGAGACCAGATTAGCAAATAAAAGAATAGTAGCACTAAAGGAAAAACATTGAAAGTTCCTTCACTATTAGTAATTTTGCCACCAAATAATTCTGGAATGCTAACATAAATTTGAAGAAAGGAAATTCCACCTATAATGGTTAAACTGTATTACACACCTCAAGGGCTTTATTCTGTTCATCCTCAGAATGTTCAGTGCTACTATTGTGCTCAGTATGGTGAAGTGAAGAAAGCATGTCCCAGGAAAAAGAGCCTGACTCGATGTCCAACATGACTGCTTTACCGAGTCTTTCCCAAAAACTGGTTTCTGGATGTTGCTCGGTAGGCAGAAGACTTTGTGAATCAATGGGTGATTCTTCTGCACTGAACAATAATAACAGTTAGAATTAAGTAACAAGGAAAAATCTCATCCAGAATAATTTTACACATCAATTTCCTTCTGTTACAAACGAATAGTATTCAATTGTTGGATGGTCAATCATTGGTTATAATCTACCCCCCCCCCCCCCCCCCCCCTTTTTGTGGCTTGTCTGATTATCTCTGGAGGATAAAATATTTTGTAAAAACATAGTAATGTAGTAGACAAAATTTAAAGATACGGATAAAAGGTGATTCTAAAACTGAACATCCAAATCAAAGAAGAACTTCCAAGTTATTTAAATCAATGACAAAATATTAGATTTCCTCTTTTCTTTATATGACCATAGTCGAAATTACAACATGCTGTCTAAAATATCACTACTCCCAAGCTGAAACACCCCCATCTCCCTAAAAGGAAAAGAGGCAAAACCCATGAGGAAATGACAGATAAAAGCAAAGTGGGGTTTTTCAATAAAACCCAAAGCAACCTTTAACACCCACTTCTAAGTCTTAACTCAACTCAGTAGAACTTCAACACCATTATTACTCCATAATTATCAGGGCAATGCTAAGCAAAACAAAATTCATAAATTAACACCATATTTATTGGTAGTGACCAACGATTGAGCTAAAATGAATCAAATGGCATACCTAGAAGGCATACCTAGAAGGCATACTGTAGAGCCTGTAGGGACGGTTAGGGAAGCCAGAGGATCGGTATTTCCCGCTCCGTTTACGAACCAGTTCCAACCATTGGGTGAACGGATAAGCCGGACCTGCTGTTATATCTCCCAACATATACAATACCTGGATTTTTTTTTTTTTTTGCGCATCACAGTTTCACATTACTAAGAAATCTTTAAGCTTCTAACAAGAAAAAAACAACAATGGGTTTTCATTTTACCCGGGAAGTAACGGTTAAGGGCAATGAGGCGTCAGGTTCTTCAGATCCGAGGTCAAGCTCTTTGTCTTTCTTTTTTTCCTGTAATTCTTGCATATATAATTTATAATGATCAAAAAAATGGGAATGGAAAAAACAAAAAATAAAAAAAAAACCCAAGATTTCAGTGAAATTCTAAACAAGAAAAATGAAAATTTTTTTTATAATAATGGGTTTATATAGGGGAGCAATGATGTGGGTTGAAACAACAAAAAGAAAAAAAAACTTTTTTTTACCTGGAGATGTGGAGGGTTGATGATTGAAGCAGAGGTTTCTTTTTGGGGTTGTGCCATTCTGTTTTTTATTGTTGGGTTAGCTTTGGGGCAAAAAAAGGGTGCTGAGTGGTCAAATTAGAGAAAGAGAAAGCGAGGGAAAAAGGGGATAGGTAGTTTGATTCTGCTTTTATTTAGGAAAAAAGAAATAGATTAAAGATCCCATTTTTTTGTAGTTGGAAATGGGCGGTTGTTCAATCAGACAGTGAAAGTCTTAACTGTTTTATTCACTAAAACTAGTACGGGCAAAAATGAAAAAGTGGGCCGCAACATGGGGTGGCGTTGGAGCCTAGTCGGTTTTGCAGGAAATAAAAGTTTGGGTTCTTTGCTGTCGTGCTTTTTCTGCAATGATGATGGCATTCACGCTCTAATAGTTGGTTTCCAGGCCACCTTCACCAGGTTGGGTCATGCTCATGCAGCTCTACTTCTTGGAACCGTTATCCCATGTGGTCCCCTATATCTTGCACTTGCAAATTACTAATTGTCAGAACCTAGTTTGAAGATGGGTATTCAATTTTCACATATACCAGAAAATATTTTTGGATAGCATGGAGGAACCTTGGACATGAATTCAGGGCTTTTGACATGCCACAAGAGGCGTTTACTGTCAGAACAGGGTGCTTCGTCTCGCGTTTTCTTGTTAATTCATTTAAATGTTGTACGATCTAAGTAGCTGAAACTACAGAGAATGCATAGACAATCAAGGACTGGTTTGTTTGTAAATTTTAGTACATCAAGATTCCTTCTTTCGAAAGAAAATCGTTAACTGTTATACAGGTTTCATCAATTTTGTGGTGGTCGACAGGAGGCAGAAGATATTGGAGTCTTCTTTTTGGTTTCCTTGACTGCAATTGGAGATTATCTAGATTTCTGCAAGAAAAAGGTTAAAATGATGGAGGGTTGGAAGTTGGAAGCTTTTAAGTTTGATTGTCATGAAAATGTTAATACAAGATCAACCAATTTAGCAGGAAAAAAGAGTACTTTCATCTATGGCTAGATACAAAAGGCACTTTCTGATTTGTCTCCACATCTATTTACAAAAATTTTCTCACAGCTAAGATCAGTTACACTCAACAAAGCCAGATAAAAAAAATTGCACTCAACTTCATTTTTGTCTTTTTCACCGGCATCAGACATTGCTCAAGTATTTTCAAGCAGCTTGACACACTGACTTGAAGTCTCAAACAAATTGTTATGAATACGAACATTGATTCAGAGAACTCCTGGGAGAGGCTTCCCTTCAAGGAATGACTTGAATAACCTGAGTGATCTCTCAGGTTGTGAGAAAGGAGCTTCATGAGAAGCGCCTCTGATTGTGGCAAATGAGAGGATGTTACCATAAACTAGAGTCCACCCACCAACCTGAGAAGAAAAAGTAAAAATCACCATAAACTTCTGTCAAGAGGGTACTATTTTCATTCATTTTAGTCCAAGTTGTTGCTTGCTGCCATCATAAGAAAATCAAATAATTTCCCTGGTTTATTAGTGAAAATACCTGCTTCCCCTCAAACCATACTCTGTAAGTTATAGTTGTTTCCAATCCTAACTCCTTTGCCAGCCCTCCTACCAGGGTGCGGCTGCCAGTCAATGGGATAACAGAATCCTGATCTCCACTGTAACATGTATCAAATTTATGAGCCGCAAAGCCTTCATGATGTGTTAAGGCTATAAAGTATTGAGATTTCATTACCTATAAACCAAGACCGGGATTCCAGCCTTGATTAGTGAACCAACAATAGATATTGTAGGGATCTCCAGGTTGAGCAGCTGATAATCCAGAATGCTGTCATTCAACGCAGTAGAAGAATAAAAATTTACTTGGAAGAAGATTAAAGTCATGACAGAAAATCCAGTTCAGTTGGTTAGTTCTCTATGTTGCCCTTCCAGAGGTTGCTAAAAGCTTGTTTTCATTTTGATATACTTCCTGCTGAAGTAGACTGTGGAAACTCCTATGACGTTTACTTTTAAAAGCAAATCCAACACTTTCCTATAAATAGTTTGGTTCCGACATCTATATCAAGCCTTAAAATAGTTTATGGTTTATAGATGGGATCAAGTTTTCTGCAAGCTTGATCAAGAAGTATTACTTGCTGCAGACATCCCATCTGCGAACTCCAACAAGCCGAGCATGAAGAGCTTTCTGGACATCTTTCCGGTTTAGATAATTCACAATTTTGTCTTCGACACATACGTCTATCCTTTCAGATACTTGCTGCGAGGTAAACCAGAAGATTTTAGTTGAAATCAATTGAGCCATATTGGAAAAATATGCAATAGAATGCAAATATGCAGTTGACGTCGGAGGAAGAGTTACCTGTGGATTTATAATCATTGATTGTGAGAGCACCGATGATATGCAGACATCAAGAGTAACATCATATTTGTCCACAAATTTACTGGTTTCTCTGCTTACTTGGTTCATCACCCTTAAACAAGAAGGTGAAAGGGAGTCTCTGTAGTACTCACTGACATATCGAGAATAGTTGCAGAGAGAGGTGAACATTTTGTAGGTTGAGTCTGATATTAATCCATGGGACCAGAAATATTCAGCCCTTGAATTGAAGTCAGTGGCAAATTCGAGAACGGGATTACCTAGCTGCAAAGTATGAATTCAAGTTGCATGAATTGAAGTGAGTGACAAATTCAATTTGTTACTATTTCTTTATCATGCAAATTTGAATCATAGAAACACTCACAGCGATTCCCTTCAAATTGAACAGATTCTTCTTTTTGTTGAATTCAACCATAAGCTTTGCAAGTTGAGGAATATAATGGCCTGATATCAGTAAGCCAACAAAAAGTAATACATCAAGATCAATCATCATTTGTATCAAATTTACAGTACGTGAAATTGGAATACATATAAAAAAGTACCTGCATAGCTTTCTCCTGTTATAAACAAAGCCCTCTTCCTGTAATTTGGAAATTTGTTGTACCAACGTTGCAAGAATACAAGATTGTCCCTGGCTACAAAAAATTAAAGAAAATTGAACTTTGGAAGAAAATAGAACACAAAAAATAAATAAGAAATAAATAAAGCCTAAGCAAATGGACGGTTTTCAGTCCTTTCAAACAAACTACAGTATCCCAAGGAAGATGTCCGCAATGAAGTGAACATTATTGAGCCATTAAATTAAATTACAAACTTCATCAGCAGAAGAGAGAGAACTTGGCTAAAAGTTAGTGGTGTAGATGAGCATTTAAAGTTATCTGATATCTGTACCAGTCAAGAAAAAGTAATGAATGAGGTAAGGAACATACCAGTGGTCTCATCATCCACTGCTACATAGGAGGAGCTGTTAGTGGAATAAGAGAACCCCACTCCAATTGGTGTCTCTAAGTATAACATATTAGCTTCTGCAACACCAGATGGAGTTGAAATCTATCAGTTGTAATTGGCATTACCAATCAATTGTAGACATGAGATAAGGACTAGAATTCTGGAGTACCTTTGTTCCAGCTGTAATCATTTATAACAAGAACCTCTCCATTTGGTCTGAAAGGCCCATTTTCAGAGAACGCCCCTACTCCAAGTGAAGAACAACCAGGCCCTGTAGGAAACAAGTAATGCAACGCATCAGACACCCCAAATTTTACAGCACCCACATTGGGAAATTAAAGAATGTTTCTTGTTCATTTCAGTAGTTCACATCCTGTGACTTGAGTTTCTTTATATGTAGTGAAGTAAGAAGATGCAGACCTCCATTCAACCAAAGGACTAAAGGCTTTGAAGCTGGATCTATTTCTGCTTCCACAAAGTAGTAGAAAAGGGCTTTATGCTTCTTGTCGTCCACAGTAACATATCCCGAGAACTGTTGAAAGCCCACACGGGGTTGCCCTGGAAGCCTAACAATTTTGTCAGAGTGAGCTACAGAAGATTCAACCTCCATGAAAAAGCACAGCTGCAGTAATAGCACAGCAATTGCCATGGCTTTCCATGATGAAGAGCACATAGTTTCAGGAATCAGGAGTGAAGAGGTGACCAAGACAAAACACCTAAGGAGTGTTTAGAATGCTGCTCGGTGGAGGACAAGATGGTAACGGTGGGGTACTAAATAAATAACCCGAGTTGGTTTTTTTATCATTACACTTCTAGCTTTTTGCTTGCAGGCATGAAAATGGTGTTGAAAGAGATGTCTGAGACACTCAATGGCTGGAGTCTGCTTATATTTGGGCCGAGTCAGCATAATATGATGGTTTGAAAGAGAAAAGAGAATGGAATCTGGGACCGGATCTGCTTTATATAACAGGTTCTGAAATATTACAGTTATATTGCTTTTGTTTTATTGTGTTTTCTCTGTAGAGTTTAACCACCATAAAATAACCTGTATATCCCTTTTGACTACGGAAAAAAACATAGGGCATGTTGTTCCTTAGAAAGTGGCTTTACAGGATTATTTTCCATTTCTCAGAAAATACCAAAGTATCTGAAAATGACTAGCATTTTCCATCTACTTAAAACAAATCTCACTTCCTAATTTTCTTAGGAGGATGACAGTATCCTGAAGGTTATTGGCAAGGCGGTTCCATGATTCCGTGGTTCTTTTACTGTTTTTTTCAATAAATGGCTGGATTGATAAACTTTTCTTGATCTACAAGTACAACCCCATATCTGTTTTTCTGAAGATTCTGAGAGTGACACAAAGACTGTTCACTGCAAGCGAGATTTCTAGGAAATATACAAGTGCATGATTCCCTTCTGCCTAAATTACTCTAAGATTGTTTTCATCTTATGCCAGACTTGTCTGGTACTAGTATCATGTGTCTTTTACCTTGGAATTTTCCCTAGAAATCCTGTATTTTTCTAGATACATGAGTAAAGAGTCCTTTGATAGCATTATCAAAGAGATTTTCACCGATTAAATTTTTAAAAATTCAATCATAAAACGATATCACCATGAAGAAAATCACTCCCACCTTACTGTCAAACTCATCCTCATAGCATATAGAATAAAAAAGTCTAGTGGATAACAGCAAGTCAGCAAGCAATCTAATCCTTTGCTCACAGTCTTGACACAATTTCTTTATGGACTTACATGTTGATGGATTTGTTCTCATTGGGTTTCTTATAATAATGAGGTCTCTACCTTTTGATTGTTGCCATTTTTTTTTAAACCCTTTTTCAAGCACTGCTCCACACAAGCCACATGTTCCCCATTATCGCCTCAACCCACCTCCCTCTCTTTCTCACTTGCAAAATTACTACACTTCAAAAACAACTGAAATGATCTCATACGCTTGTAAAATGTCAAACTCTTGGTAAGTATACAAATATTGAATATGCTTATGTTACTGATTTATCCACCGAAAGTTATCTAATTAGTAAGAAAATGAATCTATTTTTTTGCCAATTAAGATTGGAAATCTAATTAAATGAAAGATATTTTAAGGAGAAAAAAAGTACAATGGCAATGAGTTAGTTGTGATGGATATATAAAAACTAGAAACTTATTTGACGAATTATTCAAACAAGCATTTGGACCACCCTAGAAAAAGCTTGTTCTGCTTGAAGTGGGGTTTTTTTCCTCGAGAAACAAACAGCAAGAGGACAAATTCCCATCTCTTGTTTAGTTATTTCATGTTTGGTACTCGTTTATCTTGCTTTCCAACTTGCATCTTTCAAAATATTATGATAGAAAAAAAAAAAAAAAAACCCAAATCTGAAAATATTTTTCTTCTCCTAAAAGGAGCCCTATGTTCCATCATTGCTTTGCCAAAATGTCATTGATTTTTGGGAATCCTATTTCTTCATTCCCAACCAAAGCAATTGAAAAACTGTTCACTTTTCATTACTTTCAAATATGATTTCATTACCTACTACTACTTTTTAAGGAGAGAAGGACTGGATAGTATATGAATGTAAAGTTTTTAATATACTCAATTCTTGTATCACAAAAATTATTGAAATTAATTCAATATTATCGTAATATATAAGGTTGATTTTAAATTTTTAAAATATATCTTAATCAATTATGTGATAATTTTTTAATTTTATCTGTGAAATTAAAAATTTTCAACAGTAATATATTCAATAATTTTTATAAATATTATTATGATCAATCCAAAATGTTTCTATTTAATAGGTAAATATAAAACTATATAAAGGGGGGTTGGTTTGGCACATTTAAAAAGGTATAATGTTATGGTGTAGACTTTGTTAAAAAATTAAATGAAATTAAGATTGGTTAAGGGGGAAGTGGGTGGGAGCATCAGATTTGGAAAATGTGTCTCAATATGATAAATTACAACTTTTGAACTCTTACAATAAAAGCAAAACTCCACTTTCTTCTTTCCATGATCTCTCTCACCTTTTTTTTTGGGTATTAATTTAAGTTGCAGAGTGGAGAAAAGCGAGCTGGCTTTTCTTTCTGTTGAACCCTTAAATAATGTATGCTCCTTTGCCCTTTTAATAAAATACTGAACTCTTAATTTTACTAATCAAAGCTTAGCTTCTTATAATCTTAAATAAAAAAATTCCAAAAAAAAAAAAAAAAAACTGAGGCGTTTTATTAGAAATTCACGCAGCTGAATCTTAGGATCTTCATTTGAAGCTCAAACATGTATCAAGATCTGTTATACAAGGAATCGTATCGTCAAATTTACAACAAAGACAAGAAAGCAAAAATGTGAAATTTAAGCAAGCTATAGTAAAAATTAATATGAAAAAAAATTGAACAATAAATATGCAAACTTAATATTTGATGCAAACCTATCAAGACAGTGAAAAAGAGAAAGGAAGAAACAAATCACAAAATGTTGTCCAAATCCTTGTGATTTGACAAGGATGCTGCAGATGGCTGGTCAATTTCTTTACGAGATGCTTCCCAAAGCTGTTGTTCAATCCCCAGCTTCCGTAGCTCAAATAAACCTCGATCAACTGCCAGATTGCACATGATAGCAAGCAATGCACGAAATCAGATGTCACTGGAAATGGCACATTTAACATTCATCAATCACTCTTTTCTCCCCCCCCCCCCCAACTTTTTATATTATGGTTTCACTTGTATTATTTCTTTCTTTGCCCAAATTCGTTTTGCACAGCCCAAGATTGAAGGATTTGATAATACTGAATGAAGGTAGCATCAGAAATTAAAATCTATGCCATTCACAAAAATATTTTGAGGTTCTTTACTTCTATGAAACGAAAACACTTTGCTGTAAGATAAGAGACAACTTTACATATAAGAGTCCAACCTAGGATTGTAACATGTTTTGGATATGGCCCGAAACATGTACTGGTTTTTTACTTCTTTTTTTTTTTTTTTTTTTCTGAAGTTGTCCCCAGGCACATTTGCATTATTCAATGAGAATGAGGCACACTTAATAAGAAAGTTCAACAATGAGCAATAACAAACAGGCATTCGTAGAAGCATTATGTAAGAAATTCAGAAAGTGGATGGCAGAAAGATCATTTATTGGCTTCCCGTCTTATTTTATGAACGATGAGATCTTAAATAAACATTATGCAAAAAGTTCCCAAAGAGGGTGTCAAAATACTAGCATATCCCACCCCCACCCCCACGAGCTGTGGGGCCTTCTCTTGTTTTGTTAAAAAACAAAAAGGAAAAAGGGAGCAAAGCAAAACCAAAATTATATTTGACATCAACTTTTAGAAAACCAGAGTATGATTGTAAAAGGAAATTGTGATCACAGTGCATCCCCAGGCTACATATAGACAAGAAAGTTGAATGATGAGACGTATTCTGATGGAGTTCTTGAGGTCATTCACTCAAAAATTTACCAACCTACACTGTTTTCAGGGAAAAAAACCAATTAAAATAGGTAGGCTTACCATCCACAGCGTCATGTGAAGTAGGGGTCTGCCCACTACGGCTGATCCAAAACTGAAGCCACTCTTCTGCAATATCCTCTTCCACGCCATGTACTTTGGCTCTTCTCCAAAAATATGTTAACCAAGCCTACAATGATTACAAGTTATAAGAACATGAATTTCTGACATAAAGCGAACCTTCTACAGAAAGAAGCTCTAGAGTTCCTGCATGAGAGAGCAAACCTACTCATGATGACAAAACACTACTGCCTTTACTAATAAATTCAGAACTTCATATGGTTTTTAAAAATGGGCTTGCTACCCTCAAATAAATGTAAAATTGTTTAACCAAAAAGTTGACAAGGCCAGATGCAGTTAATTGATGGACAACTTTTATTTGTTGAGAATATTACATTCCTAATTCATTAATAATTAAGTGCAAGAACCATCATAACTGGCTATCATTGCATGGAGTCAATAACATATAGGGGACAAATGATGATCCTGGACATTAAACTCTTATCAAAAGAAAAAAAAAAGTGTTCTTGCCTGCTAGTAAATAGATAGGAGGTATGAAAAAGAGACCAAGACAACTAAAAAAGTCATTAGAGAATGAGAAAAGAGATTTTGCATTTAAAGCTCACATATGACCAACATGCAAAGTATTTGAATGAAGAAAGTGATTAACCTCTTTGAAAAGAACATCTTCTCCCTCCTCTTCACTTAGTTCTGCAGTTGAAAGGCAAAAAAAAAAAAGCATAAAGAGAAAGAACCACTGAATCTTTTTAAACTAATTGAGGCCGGAGTTTTCCCAAAACCAACATGAAAGCATTCCGAAAGATATAATAGTGCATGATGAAAGATAAAGAGTGTCTCTCTTACCAAATGCATCAATCAACTTGGGATCACCTGGTGACTTCGAATCTAAAATCAAATGAAAGAAATTAAAGGAAAAATATTTCACTATCAGTATATAACTGATTTCCAACAGATGTAATTGTATAAGGGAAAGAATTGCTGGCAAGGAAATAAAAATTTGGCCTCAATAAAAAAAGAAAAGAATTTGGGCACTTTTTCTTCAGGAGGAAACGGTGGGGAGAACTGTCACTAGTTTCACTCCATTTTATTGAGCATCAACCTAAAATGCAAGATAAAGTCAATAAAAGCTGCTAGGCTAGCCACACAAGTGGAAATTTTGGCATACTTCAGAAATTAATTGGGGGAAATATAACTACCAAGAAATTAAGTACATCCAACTAGATTGATTACTCATAAAAAATTTTTAAAAAAGCTTGCACATGACACAGATAAAGCAAACCTGAGATGGATTGATGAAGCAAACCCAGTCGTCTATGCCTGCCTAATGCATGTAGAACAGCATCTTCAACCTGAAACAGCGATGAGTGAAATAAAAATAAATTTATAAAGTAATACTTTATAAAAGTGCACATGAGATATATAAGTAACAATAAAATTGAACTTCACATAAAAGCATAATGGAGGGAAAGAAGTACTACTAAATTTTAAAAATTAATGTGCAAAGCATAAACCATCAAAGAGGTGGCATATATGAATTCATAAAGAAGAATCAAATTGTAAAACATCCAGGAAAAACATAGATACCAAATGACAAGCAAATGGCTCAGAAAAAAAATTTTAAATATTTAATTTTCCTTTAAAAAAAAGAATCAACCTTCAAAGATGCTAATTCCCGTAGGCCCATTTCAACTGAAAGCATACTCTCAATATTTCCTTCTCCTGTCAGATCATTCATATCCCGGACAAGTTTACTCCGGTCTGGATCTCCAGCACCTGAACCAATTCCACAATTTTAATAGTTCAAAATAAAAAATATTTTCAAAAAGAGGAAGTATATGGGATATGGTTAGAAATTGAACTAGCCTCTATCCCAATCCTCTTTTGCCTTTTGTCCAGCAGAAACAACAACTTCAAATGGAAGAGGAGCCAACGCCGACCAATATTCATGCTTTGACACTGCTATATCTGCACATATGCCTGCAAAATCCAGTAGCAATTGCAGGTAAAGCAAATCCTATCTGGTTTTAAACAATAAAATGACAGCTAAGAATGAATGGTATGAGTCAATTTTTTAGGAGTGAAAAATGAAAATTCCACCACCATAGGAACTAAATAAAAGGGCTAAGAATTGCTAATACTGGCTGGAAAAATAACAAATTCAAAGCTGGTATCCACAATCTACAACAAATATAGGTTCATTACGAAGACAATCTTAGGTGGACAAAAGGACTAAGAACTGACCAAATCATACATACAACAAGATCCTTGAACTTCATAAATCTTAGGGATGGTCAAAACTTTCATGCCAAAGATGCATTACAACACTAGTGTGGCATCAAATACTCGCTTTTCTATGCATCTTAGTACAATTAAGATGTAGATTATTTCCTCGCTATAGAAGAATGTGATAGTTGATTACCATGCTGTACAGCCAATCCCCAGTAACGTGCAAGCCAACATCTCTTTAGGACAACTTCCTCCTAAAAGTAGATTTAGTATACAATTAGAATTTCAGCAGGTATGTAGCAATAAAAGTTACTTGAGCATGAATGGACAAACCATCTCTTCCTGAGTCAAAATCATTCTCTGTGTCATTGTACGAAGAGCTTTTGTTTCAGATTCTGCTTCATGGAGCTGTTCCATGGCTGTAGCAGCCCCATCCTTCAAGTTCTAATCAAAAGAAAATCATAGAATTACTTTCTGCATCAACACACTCCTCTGCACCAACATCATTGGCACACTTTACCTCAAGTTCTGAATGAAGGGCAGCAATTTCCTCCTCCCTACCATCCTTTGTCTGTTTTGCAGCCTTAAGAGCAGCCTGCAAGGAAGAATGTTTTTCAGGTTTTTTGTCTAATGAGAAGAATATTTTACAGCTTAAATAAAAGTAACAAAGAACTAAAATTAGCACTTGTGGATAAAGAGCTGGGATGGAGAGAGAGAGAGAGACAAAAGGGAGACAAAAAGATATAATCAATATTGTTGTTCCAGGCAATCATCTAAAATAGGAAATATAGGTCAAGTAACCACATAATATTTAATTCATGAGCCAGAAGAAATGAAAAGAAGTAAACTAAACGTGGCCCAACCTATGTTTAGACTCTACTGGTATGTATGTAGTGTTTGTGATCTATAGTAAATTAACTTCTATTCAAAGTTTAATATCCCAGCATAATATAGCTTGCTTTATATCCGAATATATATTGTATATACAATCTCAAGTAAATTAACTTCTATTCAAAGTTTAATATCCAAGCATAATATTGCTTGCTTTATATCCGGATATATAGTGTGTATATGATCTAAAGTAAATTAACTTCTATTCAAAGTTTAATATCCCAGTATGATATAACTTGCTTTATATCCCAATATATTGTGTGTATAAGTAAATTAACTTCTATTCAAAGTTTAATAGCCTAGCATAGCTAGATTTATAGTAAACTAATTTCTATTTATTGGACAAATCATAATATAAGGTAAAATACTATTAAAATGGCAATTAAAAATATAATTAACAATCATGCCCATTTTAGTCAGTTCAAAAGATTCCCCACATCCGTGCTTTTATATATATTATATATAATTATAGTACTCTATTTACCTCTCTTTGACGCAAAGCTGCTTCCTTCCTGCAGAAAAAACACTCATAACCATGAGTAGATAATAAATAACACAACTGGAAAATGCAAAATACTCACACTTACCTACTTAATAATTTGGCTTCCAGAGATACACCTTCTCCTAAGGAAGCAACCTGTTAACATAAAATTTAGTAAGCTACTATATGAATGCAGCAAACCAATGAACGATGAATGTATAGCCACTTAGGCTATGCTCACAACTCAAATGCAGAATTCGCTTACACCTCAACAATGTTACTACATGTTCACAAGTTACAAAAATGCTTAACATGAGTACCTGAATACACTTCAAGTATATGCCTATTAAAGGGATTTATGTCAATGTCCCGCCTAGTGGGTGCCTAGACTATAAAGATTCTACCTCATGCATAATCCAGTACTGCTTAAATATCAGGAACCAAGAATGTAAATAGACACATCAAAATTTGGCGATACTAAGTTATCTAAGTGTAATATGAATTATATGAATAATTTCATGCTAAGTTATACAAGTGTAATATGAACTATATGAATAATTTCATATTTCATATATCGTATAATGCTAAGCCCTTTAACAAATAAGCAGCGTTAGAAGCCGCAGGATATGTGATAATTCGAGGAAAGACATCTAAAGTATTACCCAAATACATTTAGGAAATGTTGGATCATCATGTTTAAATCACATAAGTGCCCCACATCAACAACTATGCATAATAGACTAGAAACATTTGATGAAACAACTCAGATGATGCTACACAATTCAATAGGATAAGCCATCCACACTGTGTCAAGCAGGGAAAATAGATCTTGCAGCCAAAGAAAGAAGACTAACGAACCTGTTTCTCAAGCTCCCTAGCTCTTGCTTCAGCTTCCTCACGTCTTTCTTCAGCAGAATGAACCTGTACTACATAGACAGGTATAAATGCTTAATTTCACAGATACCAGAACCATAATAACCAATTTTTAATTCTTTAGGCTGGGATAGTGCACCTTGTCAAGTAGATTCTCATTCTCTTCTTGTAGCATATCAAGCTGCAACATAGCATACATTAACTTCAAATCAACTGCTTCAAGAATAAGATTTCAAGTTCAAATGAAATATATACAAAAAAATTGGTGTAATCTCAAAGGCATGATTACATTTTAGATTATGTAGCTTACAGAACCTATAAAAGATTAATATATTTGAAAGCTGTATGCGTCAGATGTCAAAACAGAAATAGATAAATGCCAGTGACTTACTTCATCACGAAGTGCAGAAGATTCACGCTGATCTCCAGTGTCTTTTGCTTTGAGTTGTCCCACATCAGCTGTAAACCTGCGATACTTTCCAGTAACATAATTCCACTGCTTAAAATCTATTGTCTTACAAAAGGTTGAGCCTTTTTGTCTCCCATTATACAACAATAGAAGATTTTGAAAAACAGGCATGTAAACCCAATAATACTCCACACACAAAGAGAAAAGACAAAAGCAAATGGATGATTATGCATACAGAGAAGGAAGTCAAAAGGTAGAAATTGTCATTTGGCGATTCATGAAAACTTGAAAGTAAGAAGAAAACAGTATTTTAAATTGGTTTCAGAAACGAACGGCAATGAAGATATTAGGTACAAGTACATCAAATATGGATAAACAAGTATATTATATAATCTACTAAGGCAGAAATGAAAAATTATATAGCAGCAACTGCATTTGAATTGAGGCTTAGGCATTTTTGCCAAAAGATAGAAGAATATAGGTCATAAACAACAAGATAATGGAATGACACCCTAAGATCTACTGGTGGTTCAGTAAGAATTATTAGGGTTTGGATCACAGTACCGTCTAAACCAACTACACCAGAAAAAATTTATGATCTAATAAGGATTTTTTTAAGAGATAAAGATGGTGTTTGGATGTTAGAATAATAAGTACTGTTGTCAAACTAAGAAAAAATTTATATGATAGAATATGTAAAGCATAAAAGAAGAGTACTACATTATTAATAGGGTATTAGCATGAAGACCAAGGATATGATCTTGGAAAAACAATAGGACTGCTTCAAGTCTAGATATTCAATAAGCATTATCTTTCACAAATACTGATAAGATAAAAATGTGTAATTTCCTAATGGATTGATCCAGCACAATAACAGCAGAGAAAACCTATCTTTGCAGTGGTAGAAGATATATTAGTGCCTTAGTAGCAGGGTTCAGAGATACATTAATGCAAGTGTATTAGAGAGAAATATGTTTCTAATGACAAAATAGTAGTGGCAATATAAATAAATACATTGCGATTACAAGAAGCTGCTTTGAACTGATACGATTTTACCATCTGTACTTTAGCAGTTGCCTCAGTTGGTCCTTTTACAGCCACAGTATCTACTAATCAGCTGCTATCTTACCAACTCAGTTATTTCTTAAAAATATAATTCTAAGTTTCCTTCTATGGAAAGACTCATCTGACTTGATTTTTCTCTCCTTACAACTTCAGATTCCACCTTAAAACTTAAAAGCCACCATTCTCCTGTTTTCTGTAACAACTAAGCCGAATTATGTAGCATGCCACTTATGCAATTAGCTAAAAGTAGAGTGAAAATGACATCATGATTCAAAACAATTATAAAAACGGCTTCATCAAAGGCATGAATATTTACATGAACTATAATATTAAGCATCTATAAAATTCTAAATAGATTTCGAAGCAATAAAATTTCATGAAAGCTAACCTTTTATCTCTGCTCCTATGAGGAGGATCAATCGGAGGTATAGTAACTGGCGTGCGAACTGAAGTCCTACTCGGAGGCAGCAAAGTTGGCGTCGTTGACCGCATCGACCTTGCCGGCCTCCCTGCTGACGTGGAGCGCACCGAAGGCGCATGTTCTACAAAATTCCGACCTAACTAATGGAAATTACAACAAAAACCAAATCAGAACGAAAATTTTGAATCCACAAAAAGAAAAAAGCAAAGAAAAACCTCCCTACTTGACTTCAATTCAAAGTTATTACCGCAGGGGAGGGAGATCTATTAGGCCGAGTGACTGAGAACGCCGGCAAAGTACTGTGATTTAGACCGTTATTGGAGAAGCTAGTAGGTACAGGAGGACCGCCGAACCGGAACCCTAGATCGTCGTCTTCCTCATCGTCGTCGGGGGTCTGTGAAGCCATGACTTGAGCGAGTCGTTGAGCCGCGGCTTTCGCGGCGACGTTTTGTGTGCGCTTGATGGTTGACATACCACCGGCTGAACCCGCCTGCAATCGCGACTGAGGATGCGCTGGAGACGACGAGCCCGAGCTGCTCGATCCTCCGCTCCACTGTCGCCCGTAAACCGGACTCGCTGTCCTCCTCCGATCCATCGCTTTACACTTATATTTACTGTTATTTATTTATCTATCTTTTATTTTCTTTAAAGGGGAGCTAGATTTGGGGGGAGAAAGAATCGGGGGAATTTGGTCTCCTATAGAGAGAGACAGAGAGGAGACATAGAAGGCGTTGAAATTGTTGAAATTATTATGGGGAAGATGATTGAACGACACGACATCGTTTTAGGGGCTTAATGCGGTATTCGCGGGAGAGAATTGGAAGGGAAAATGCAGGGACCCACTGACAGCGTGTTAAACTGAGTTGGCGCGTGTGATCCAAGATTTCGACCCAGTGACGAAGGATCTTGGACGGAGAATGTTTTGGCTGCGCGGTGACGGTGAAAATTGGATTTGTCCTTAGCCGCCTAAGCCTCCAAGGTCATTATCTGAGTGCCACGTGGTATGTTCTACACCCTTGAATTTATGATTATAAAGGGAATGTTGTGCTAACATAAATATTTACTCAAAATTGTAAATACTTAAATAAATCCTCAAATTTTATCTAAAAACGCAAATAAATTTTAATTTTTTATTACATGAAATTAAAATTATATGTTTTTATTTCATTAAAATTATACTCTTTAAATTTAAAAAATAAATGAATAATATTTAATTAACTTGATAAATAAAACATACTAACATCTATTGGATCCATCAATTAATAATTAATAAATCACCGAACACAAAATAAAAATAAATGATAATTAACTTTCTATCAAAAATTCGATTGCATTCAAATAAAACCTAAGTCACATTTGAAGTCCAAATACTAATACTATTTTTCGAATGTGACTTAAACTATTAATTCACTCTTATATACCCAAAAATAATTATTATTTATAAATTATAATAAAAAATTGTAAATGATAAATACTTTCGTAAGTAAAAAACTTATACTTTCGTAAGTAAGAAACTTCCATCAAGTCAGGGATCGTAATTGAGACTCAATGGTAAACAACATTTTTGGATGAAGCACATGCCACCATCACAAAATCCCATATGATTGCTTGTGCCATCCAAAAGTAGAACCGCAAGTAATTATTAATACAGCAACGTGATTTTGCTCTAATTCACCGAAACATTAAAAAAAAAAAAAAATTATTTATTCAAAGGTTACATATATATATATATAATTAAACATGGTTAATAAATATAGGTTTGACAAGACAACTTGTTCAGAAAATGATAATTCAACCAAAAACTTTGTTCGCCTTAAATTAGAAATTTAAATGGATAAAGTTTTTCTTCTTACTTGTCTAATTGTTATTTTAAAATATATTAAAAAAATTAACAAACAATTCAAATTTATATATAATTTAATAAAACTAACATTTATTATAATTTATCATGTATCATTCATTATTGATATATAAATTATAGTTTGTGATTAAATTTCTAAATAATAATGCATTAATAAAAGTTGATATGATGATTTTAAGCACAGGAAAGACAATAGCCCGCAAAGCACGTCCTAATCAAGGCGGTCTAAGCAAGAATCCTACGATATTCACTTTCAGCATCAAACTATCTCGAACTTGAAAGAATAGGTGGCTTTTTCTTTCTTCCAGCCTGTAGCTTGTGGAATGCTAGAAACTTCAGTCAATTGGGTCAAGGGTCCGTTTATTTCTAGACTTGGCAACAAGTTTGCCATAGGGCGGCGGATTCGGAAGTGTGGACCTAGCCAACAACCGTAAGAGTTAACGCAACCAAAGAGTTGACTAATTCTGAAGAGCTTCCTTCTAAGAGCCCTCCACCGGTGCCTGACCTTGCAATAACGCCTCTTCCGATATTCCAATATTATGATAATTTATTATGATATATAAATAAAAATTTATTTTTATTTTTATAAAATATTTTTTAAATAAAATTATAAAATTTTAAATTAAAATAAATAATATCTCATAAGTTAAATATGAATATAATTTTTTTATATAATTCACGTATATATTTGCATACTTTATTGTTAGATAGGATATTAGATTAATTCGTAATACCAACTCAATCAAAGATTTTAAATATAATACTTTTGCATATTATTTTAGATAAAATATCCATCATCCCATTACTCTTTTTTCTTTAAAAAAATCAAAATGATTTTATGCTTGCATGCTTTATCAATGGATGGTGTTAATTTGCAACACAAACTCACTAAAAGATTTTAAACGTAATGTAAACACCATATGCTTTTGCATATTATTACAAATAAAATATCAACACCTTTTAAATTAATCAATTTTAATGTCATGAAATTTGATATCGTAAAAATTATCATAGAATTTTAATATAACTAAATTACAATCACAAAATTCTAACTATTTAACCAACATTCGCATCAATTTTTTTTTATTACTCTTTAAAAAAAATTCAAGATAGTTTTCCACTCCATTTTATTCCCCATCTTTAAAACTCCAAATATATTGCATAGACATTATTTTGACATTAAAAATTGTTAAATGAAAATTAAATCAAATAGTATAGCATAAAAGGATTAATGTTAAAAGTGATTCTTAAATTATAATAAAATATTTAATATAATATTTAAATTTTAAAATTTTTTAATATGATATGTGAAATAATTTATTATAGTTAAGGTACTATTAATAGGACAAAACTTACATAGAATTTCATATGAGATTTCATGAAATTCCTTATTAAAAATAAGTAAATAAAAATTTAATAAAAAATTCAAATCAATAAATTGATAGAGTTTAGTATAAAGATCAATATTAAGTAAAAAATTTGTTAAAAATATTATTTAAAATTTAAATTTAATCGATACTTATTCAACGATAAAAAGTTTATTAATCTTTGTACTAAAAATATTTATTTAATAAATATATCAAAATTTATTAAATATCTTTTAAATTTTACATGTTTGATCTATGTGATGAGATTTTTTAATTTATTAGTTTGATTTTTTATTTTAATTTTTATTTACTTATTTTTAATAAAATATTTTACGAACTTTACTTATAAAATTTCATGTAAATTTTTTTTTATTAATAACATTAATCTTATTAACTATTATTATAATATAGGTCAACAATCAAATTCGTTAAAAAAAGGAGAATTCTATTTACACCCCCATTTTTACTTTATACACCTCACTACTTAATGTACCATAAATTCAAACTTAAATTTAGTATTTTTATTAAATACACCGCATCCCTCGACAATTGATTTTCCCTTTACACCCTTAACATTTTTTCTTCCTTTTCTCTTTTTTTCTTTTCATCTTTAAATCCATCAAATTAATCCCAAATTTTTTTTTTTTGAGTCTATCGTTGATTAAAAGTAAGATTTCGAGATTTATTTCTTTAGATGTGGTTTAAATGCAGGTAAAAATATGTTAAAATTTACAAAATAGATTTAGCATAATTTGAACTTTCTAGGAAATGGATTTCCTAGAAGCCTTTAAGGCTCTCGGGAATCCATTTCCGATAAGATTTTAAATTTCTTAAAAATTTATTTTTGAAAATATAACATAAATTTTAAAAATTTATTTTTGAAAATATATCATAATTTTAGAAAATAGATTTCTAAATATTATATTGGATTCTCATAAATAAATTTTCAAAAACATAAAAAATCCAAGTTCAATTGGGTATAAGAGAAATAATTATGAAAAAAGAAGAAAAACAAATAAGAAAAGAGAAAGAAGAAAAATAAGGTATTTTCATCATTTACTAAAGGCTAAATTTGATACGGGGCGCTTCTAAATACACCTCACAATTTTTTTTCCAAAAATACTTACATATTAAATACCAAATTTAGTCTTTAATAAATGACGAAAATACTCTTATATTATTCTTTTCTTTCTTCTTCTTCCTCTTTCATCTTTCTTTTTATTATATCCAGTTGAATTTGAGTTTTTCTATTTTTGAAAATCCATTTTTAAAATTTATGTTATATTTTCAAAATAAGGTTTCTCGAAAATAAATTATTAAGAAGTTTGAAATATTTTCGGAAATAGATTTTCAATAGCCTTTAAGCTCTTGAAAATTAAAACTTCTTGAAAATGTATTTTCAAGAGCTTTAAATGTTTATTGAAAATTCATTTTTGAAAAACTCGGTTGTAAAATTTATTTTGTAAATTCTAACTTATTTTTACATGCATCTAAATTAAATCAAACAAAATAAATTTTAAAATTATACTTTTAATCAATGGAAGACTTAAAAAAAAAATTGGGATTAATTTGATAGATTTAAAGTTAATTTGGGTTTGAGATTGAAAAGAGAAGAAAAGAGAAGAAAGAAAAAAGGTTGAGAGTATAACAAAAATCAATTGTTGAGAGATTAGGTGTATTTAGTAAAAATATAAAATTTGAATTCGAATTTGTGGTGTATTTGGTAATGAGGCATATAGAGCAAAAATGAAAATGCAAATAGAATTCCTTATTTGGTATGTAGGTATTTTTGAAAGAAAATTTGTGGGGTATAAATAGAAGGTTTTGGGACGCATTTAGAAGAAAAAAAAAATCAAAGGGGCAAAGTCTCGCGGCAACAGTGAATTAGAAAGCGCGTAAGCAAAGGACGGAAAGTCCTTCAAAAGCGCAGACATTTTCGACTGATTTTTCATCTTCGCTTCTCGCATTCATAAAACACCACAAGCTTTCCATTTTCTTCGTACCATTTTACTCTCACAAAAGCCAACGCTCGTTTCACTCATTTCGAGAGAGACGAACCAACAAATCGTAACCCAAACAAAATGGCAATCTCTGATGGCTCTCGCCAATCTCTTCTTCCTAGTTTCCTCTATTCGGCTCCTTCCTCAACCAAACGTGTCTTCGGCTTGGACACGTCTTTGACGAACGCCAATCATCATCATCATGTGCTACCTGGATCACCGTCCATCTCATCATCATCATCGAACGTGGTCGGTGATGCAAGGGTCGCTTCGAGTAGGATTGTGGTACCATCGCCGAAGGAGGGGATCAAGATGTACTCGCCGGCTTTTTACGCCGCTTGTACTGCCGGTGGGATATTGAGCTGCGGCCTTACTCACACAACCGTTACGCCTCTCGATGTTGTTAAGTGCAACATGCAGGTATTCTTTCTTTTTAAAACGTGTTTGGCTTATTTGATTTGGTCTTTGTATCTGGAATTTGGTCTGTAGCATGGTTAAAAAAACGTCTGTTTTAACCATGGTACGGTGGATGCTAGGGGTAGCGTATTTTTTATTTCCGTTACTCGTTATAATGAACAAATGAATCGTCGTTCATGTAAAAAACGCTTTATTACATCTGAAAATAGTAATAAAATAAAAAATTATAATGAGATGCTAAAATTATTATTTATATATATTTTTTAATATATTTATAAATTTTATAATATATTAATTTTAACTTATAATTAAAATATGTAAAAAAACTAATTTTAATTTATAAATATAATATTAAAATATCATAAATTATTTTAAATATTATAAATAAATATTATTATAACAAACTATTTTTTGATTCATTGTGAAAATTTTAAAAAAATTTATGATCGTAAGTATGACTATTGCTATTTTATGGATTATATCCGTAACCATAATATGCGGCTGTGATCGCATTTTAAATCCCTGATCTCTAGTGGACAAAAGGGAATGCTGATATGAGTGCTGTTGAAATCTCAGATTGACCCAGCAAAATATAAGAGCATCTCATCAGGGTTTGGAGTTTTGCTGAAGGAGCAAGGTGCTAAAGGTTTATTTAAGGGTTGGGTGCCTACCCTGCTTGGTTACAGCGCCCAGGGTGCTTGTAAATTTGGTTTCTATGAATTCTTCAAGAAGTATTACTCCGACATTGCTGGGCCTGAGTATGCCACAAAGTATAAGACTCTGATTTATCTTGCTGGTTCAGCATCTGCTGAATTGATTGCCGATGTTGCTCTCTGCCCTATGGAGGCAGTCAAAGTTCGTGTGCAAACTCAGCCTGGGTTTGCACGAGGTTTATCTGATGGGTTTCCAAAGTTTGTGAAGGCTGAAGGCGCTGGCGGGTATAATATCTGCACGATCCATATTTGGTTTACGTATTGTATTTTGTTTTTTGTGCTAAATGCTGATAGTATGATCTTACATGTTTGTAGGTTGTACAAAGGACTCGTTCCTCTCTGGGGACGACAGATTCCATGTAAGCCAAAGATTTTCCGGCATTTAATGTTTCGTATAAGCTTTGTGATGATCTGTTGTTACTGACATGTTTGTTTCCCATGAAGTTAGAATTCCCTTCCTATTTGGATGCATTAAGCAGTTTGCAAATTATAGCTTATTTTTCCCTGTTCACAAATAATGTTTTAGTTAATCGCTGTGTTTTAAATGGCTTTTTAAATTGGCATGACCACTTGAAAGGTTCTGCCTACAATACAGCTTTCTTAAATGGCACCAGCATGTTATCAGTTCTAGGGCTTTTTGCAGTTGTATGTACGTAGATATAGCTATGATTTTGTTGTCTAAAAGTGCATACCCTGTTTTGAGGATTACCAAATATTAATGCCATCATGCCTCAAAATTTTAAATTGGCTCTCGGCTGTCCTTTTTCTAATATTAGTTCTGTTTAGGTTTTGGGGCATGTGTGGCATAAACACCTGGAAAAAGAATAAAAGTAGTGGCTTCTCTATGTCTGTTTCATTTTTGTGTGTGTTGTGTTGATCTCCTCTATGTAATTCCGTTGGTTGCGAGAAGTTTTGAATTTGTACTGATGAACTGAAGATATTTTGCAGATACAATGGTGAAATTCGCATGTTTTGAAACAATTGTTGAGCTAATCTATAAGTATTCCATCCCCACCCCGAAAGATCAGTGCAGTAAAACTTTGCAACTTGGGGTGAGCTTTGCTGGTGGATACATAGCTGGTGTTTTCTGTGCTGTTGTATCACATCCTGCCGACAACTTGGTGTCTTTTCTCAACAATGCTAAGGGGGCAACTGTTGGTGATGTGAGTAAAAACCTTACTTTGTTTGCATTTAATTGATATATATATATATATATATACACACACACTCTTTCACTTTTCATATATTCACCGGTTTTGTATTGTTTCCTTTCTTTTCTCTGTTGCAGGCGGTGAAGAAGCTAGGATTGTGGGGTCTTTTCACCCGTGGCCTTCCCCTTCGTATTGTTATGATTGGAACCCTTACTGGTGCACAATGGGGAATCTATGATGCTTTTAAAGTTTTTGTTGGCCTGTAAGTTTTCTGACTGCAGCATTTGCTTGTAGTTTTGATGGTTACGTACTTCAAGATAAACATGAAATTCATTCATTTAGTACTTATCTCGAATCAATCAAATGAGCTAAATCTGGTTCCTTTCTGCAGGCCAACTACCGGTGGTGCGACTCCTACTCCTGCTGCTTCAAAGGCATGAACAGGATGCAACCTTTTTTAGTTCATTGTAGGAATTTTCTAAGGGGATTCCCCTTGTTAAGAGAGCAATAATAGTCGCCAGTAGGTTCTGTAAAGTATTCTTTTGCAGACATAGTTTCTTTGTTATTCTTTCTGGCGCAGTTGATTTTTTAGTGTATGACTTTTGTTCTTAATCTTCTTTTTGGGCACCAATTCAAGCTTGTATCCAAAGGACGATTCCAACTTTGTTTCAACAAGTATAAGAACAAGCATCTGGTTACTACCAAGAATCATATTCTAGTCCATGGTGAAAACATGAGCTTTTGGAGTAAATTTATTCCATGTACTTGTGCAGGGCATACACAAGAAACAAATGGGACATTCTAACATATTTTACCATAAAACAATTTGACATTTTCTTTTCTATAGCATACAGCCACTGTGAAGTGGCATCTTGGTTTAGGTTCGGTTAAGAGGGTATATAGTATCGAAAACAACCCTAGCAAATGTATGTCGAATTTCCTTCAGGCTTCCTGATGCTAACAACTCATAGTCAATTCTGCTACCTTGTTTTGCCGCAAATCCCTTCTCTGGACCCTCTGTCACGCACTCGAAAACCTTGCAAGCTTTCAAATACAATGCCAACGGTATAAACACCTGCATGTGTACGATTAACGTAAAAAATCAGAAAGGAAAAAAAGAAGAAAAAAGAAGAAAGCAAGCTCTATGCAGATCTTGAAACAAGATGTTTGCTCAGGTTCGGTGTTGATGTCTGGTTGGCATCATCCTAATTTGTTTTCCATAAAACCAGAAAATAGTCGGAAAACCAGAAAATAGTAGGGAAACATAAAGAAAAATACGCACCAGATCAGAAACTGGGGCTTGAGGGTACACCGACATTGCCCGAGAGACGAAATGCTCATTAGTCATCTTGCGCAACGTGCTTTTAACAGATGCAGCAAGATCCGTAACTTCACTTATTAATATCTGATTCTCTAGATTCTTTGGTTCTGATAGTTCATGAAATCTACTATCATGTGATTTATTGATTCTCCTCGCAATATTTACAGCTTCTGACATATCTCCACCATTGTGGACAGCAAGGCTAAATGCAGCGACAACCAGAGGATCTCTAGGTTTGTCAGAAAGTGCTTTATGGAATGCTAAAATTCCAACCCTGTTAGCAATAAGATGATGTTTTATAGATGAGTGGCTCCAAAAAAGTACACCAAAAACAGAAAAAATTGATATTGCATTTTATTAAAGGCTATTGCATATGAGAAGACCAGATATGGATTTTCACATTTTCTTGTTGTTGACAACCTTACCATAAATTACTGTGGCATGGTTTGTCAGGTGCCAGAAGTCTGTCCAGTCTAGAAAATAATGACTACAAAGGAAACATCAGAAAATTAATGGACTCCATGCAATCACATTGCTGCAAGTCATTTTGTAACCCCTAGTCAAAAAGATAGAGAACAAAAATTACCAAGAGCATATTAGATCTCTTATCACGCCTCTGGAAACCACTGCGAACAAAATATGCTGCCTGCAAGATGAAGTTGCATCAATATTAGTATCAAAATGACAAGTATGAAAGGAAAAAATCATTTTCCAGTTCCATACCTGAAAAGGTAAAAGTATTTCAAGGAGTCCAAATTTCCACAATAATCTCAAAGAAGCTTCTGCAGAACCATATGCCAGCATGTAGTTCATTTCCATCAGAAGCCTTGACTAAATATTACCATTAGTGAATAAAATCAGCCAGCAACATTTTCACATAACTTAAATGCTGCGAAATCTCTAAAAGGAGCCTTTTGTATACCTTATCCAGTCTCAATATTGAGCAAGACAGATTTTTGAGAAAATGAGCTGTTTCCCTAGAAAAACTAAAGCCCAACCGGGCAGCAATTCTTATTGCACGTAGTATACGAGCTGCAAAGAGTATGGGGTGCAGAGCAATTTTCTCAGTAAGTATAAAAAGATGGGTTATTAAAAGGAGTGTGCTTCAAGGTAAACAAAGCAGACAATAGCATGACAGTTTCTATATTACATGATGAAAAATAGAGTGAAACTGCAAACAGTAAACTCACCGCAATCCTCTTGAAAAGAAGTACTTGCAGGAATCACAGTTCTTACCTACAATAACAGAAGATAAAGGACAATGTACATCAAATTCTACGTTCTAGAGAAACTAAAGGAACAACCACAATGCATACTTTAGCTTTTTTAATATCTTCAATTCCTCCCATGTAGTCATAAATTATCCTCGCATATGGATCAAACATTAACCTGTAGGAACAGAGAGGTGTCTTAAATGAATGACACAGGGCCCATAGTACTTAATTGGAACAAGTGTCAGTACATAAATCATAAGTTCAAAATTTTATAAAATTAACCCGTTAATCGTAAAGTCCCTTTGCAAACAATTTCTCCAACGAACAAAATCCTTCTTGGCACAGCCCACAGGTCTTCCTACTTCATAGGACAGACCCCTACCAAAATTCCGTCCAGATGTGCTAAAACTTGAAACCTAAATTGTAAAGTAAATTCAAAATAATAATAAAATAGCTAAAAAGAAAAAGGAAATTTTGAAATAGATAACCTTCATTTACAGCCATCCCCAAGAGAATAGCAACAAGCATAAAAATGGAAATTGCCGCCTGGGATGCCTTGGGAAAAAAGTCAAAGATAACAAAGTAGGAACAAACCTCAACTATTGTATCACCGATGTATACATGGCATATAGGAAACCGCTTCCCAATTATTTTGCATTGTGAAAATGCCTTCATTACCTGCAAATTTGGGAAAAATATATTTTAGAAGTCTGAAAGCTAAGGAATTGGGAAACCTCCTCAGATAGGAAGACATGACACTAATAACAGAGATCAGAGAGACCTTCACAAAGGTTTTTTTTTTGGTTGTGGGACATCAACCTGATATTACACCATGCTTGCACTGAGATATGAATGAAGTGTTAAATACATATCCGACACTACTCCAACAATAGATACCATTAAATACAATAAGCACACAATTGTATTAATAAACAAGCAATAAGATCAAAATAACAACAATCACCAAAATATAAACCCAAAAAAGGCCATTAAAAACAACCTCTCTGAGTTCTGCTGTAGTTATGACATCAAAGTCCTTAGGTATTCGATTCAAAATAAGATCCCGTACACAACCTCCAACAAGGTAAACCTCGTACCCTACAAGCACAAGAGAAAAGGCAGAGATTCCCATACAAACATATAATTAGAAAACAAGTTCCATTCCCTCAAATATTGCAATTGAAATATATAATACTAATACCTTTTCTTTTGAGCCCATTAAGAACTTTCCTTGTTGGCTTGGAAATCTTTGAAGTGCTAATTCCAAAATCCTCAGAATTCAGCTTCTTCCACTGTAATTCACTGTCTTCTCCACTCACTTGAACACCCAAAGTTTAAAACTTTTTATAAATAACACCAAAAGGAGAAATTAAAATTCAATCAAAATAATAAAAAAAAAAAAACAGAAAAACAAGACTTTTGCATACCATTTTTTCCAGGAGAAGAGTCAGAGCTTTGACTGTTGTTGTCATTGATAACAGTTTCCGGTTCATCAAGTGTCTCAATTGCAGCAACGGAACCGAACCGAATCTACAAAGAAATTATCCAGAAATTGAGAAATGAAATAAGTAATATGACCCATAAGAAAAACAGAAGGTCAAAGATTAAAAAAAAAAGAGTAGAATTACTTTGCGGAAGCAGTGAAAGAGAGGAAGGCGAAGAGAGAAATGAGGTTTGCTGGCGAAGCTTAACCCTGAAACCGCCATGGATGGTTTACCATGTCATGCTAATGATGATACTGATGAGGTTAGCGTTAAACCCTAGCCAACGGTTTACAAAAGATGAAAGGGTTTAAGATGAAAAGCCTTAGCGGTTCGCAGTAAAATCTTTGCTTATGAATTCAGCCACGTGACCAGCCCAGGCCCATACTATAATTGGGCTACCGTTTGACCCTTGATTACTCTTTTATTATTATATATATTATTAATCTTCTTTATAATTAATGAATATAATAATTATTAACGTAGAATATATCATTTATAATAATTATATTATAATTAATAAATTTAAATTTAAATTTACGTAAAATTTATCAAAATATTATATTAAATTTATTTTTGTAAATTCTGAATATTTCCATAATTATTGATTGTAATTGAACAATTATAATATTATAATAAAAATAATTATAATTAAAAAATTTCTCGAAATTAAGGTGATATTGAAGGAATAAGATTTATAATTAATTAAGTTATTATTTGATATATTATTTGTATAATTTTTTTGATTATGTATTTTTATAATTAAAGTTTTTATTTTTAAATATATTTTAAAAAATGTATTATTTTATTAATTCCTTTTGTGCAGTGTAAAACCTCAATATGAAACAATTTATCTGACTAATATATTGTCTTTTTTTGAATTTGACAAAAATGATGCCTTAAATGTAAAAACCTTTTCTGTATTTTAATTATCTTAACTGGATCTTTGGATAAAAGGGGGTTGGGGTTTGGCCAGTCATGTTTGGGCTAAAAGGAATTCAGTCCATAATTTGAAGCCAACGATTTGTTTTTAGAGTAGTTTGTGACCCATCAAGGTAAAGAACAAATTATAGGACTGGGCCAGTGGTGAGTCCACAACAAATTCAAGTAAAAAGCCTCTTTGCTTTTGGTGAGGTTAAGGATTACACAAAAGGGCATTTTTCATACTGAAATGTTATATATATGCACACATAAGTTTTTTTATATAAATTAAATATAATATAAGATTATTATTATTCTTTCATCTTACGCGTCAAACACGGCATTAGAATCTTACTTTACATGAATCTTAATGTTTTTTTGTCATGAACTATGAATCTTCATGTAATAAACCTAATCCAAACCAAAAACTTGGTGCTTTACAAAGTACTTGCTCCCTTCAATTGTAAAACCAAATATGTGCCGGCAAGTACAAAGAGATAAGGATAAAAAAGCAAGGGAGGTGAGCATTTTTACTTTTTATTTTTTATTTTTTTTATTATTAAGTTGCCAATGCTACGGAGGAAATACCACTAGCTACAACCTTAAAACCGGGTTGCTTTCACATAAAATGACACCACTTGATAACTGTAATTTTGCTTTGATAGCGATTTTGTTTGACAAACATGCAATGTAAGTTGATCAATCGGGAAGAAAAAAGGTTAATCCCTTTTGGAAAGCCCTTTTTGTATGCATGCATTTGCAGGCAATTTCGTGGAAGAACAGTATATATAAGGATACATGTACGTTTACCAATTACCACCAACTTCATTTCGATCAACATCAATATCTTAGTTTTTTTTTTTTTTTCTTCTTTTACTCCCGGCCAAAAGGCAGTTTCCAGGTATACGTTTCTGCAGGTGATGCCAAAAGAAGAAACTAATAGAAAAAATCTATATATATAATAATGGGCAAAGAAAGGGCAAATGGCTTTCTTAGTACCTTAAGGGGCACTGTCATTTTGGTCCCTGTGTGTAGATCAGATTACTAGAAAAGTATTGTAAGGCTAAGGAGTTAAAAGTCTGTTCAATGATGACCCCAGCTTGAAGGAAGTCATTTGCCACGCACTGGAACCCTATTGAGGGTGGTTAAAACGGGTCTGACACTAAAATGCACCTAGCATTTTAGCATTAGAGGCTTTGCCGAATGCAACTCAAGTCAAAGAATTAATAATGGATATATATAAAAAAAATTACAGATTTCAATGGCCAATTGTTCCTACAAAGCATGAGATTTTTTTTAATACAAAAAATTAGTTGATAATTATCTAGGCTTGAACTACACAAAGAGAATGAACTCTCTCCCATCTCTCAATCGCACACTTCTCTTTTTCCCAACATTCAAACACGGACAACATGAAATGATACTTGTATGCCATATATACATTAAATTTTGTAGTGAAGATTTAGCTGTTAGTAGCTGGAAAAAGGAAAAAGAAATCAAGTTTGATTTTTCCTCCCACAAGTTAAATCAAATGTAAAAGAAAACACAAACAAGGATATTGGCCTACCTAGTAAAGATGATTTCTATATATACAAACTTAGTTTCTTTTAGTACATATAACCAAATTTACATAGACAAATCCCATTTTTCTTTTTTTTATTGGTAAAAGAAAGTTTAAATGAAGGAAACTATTCCACTTATAGGTCAAAGCATACTGCAAGCTTTAACAAGGAATTACATTAGATTTACAGATACACCAGGAAGAATTGCTAGCAATGAAAATCAAATTTAAACTTTATAAATGAAGTATTCAATTTTTATCGATTCAAGAAACACAATTTTCTATCTAAATCGGAGTTTGGTAAACATGTTCATTTCATGCATGCAAGCATGTGAGTGTATAAATAAATGTGATCCTTAAGGGATATATCATGCAACAAAATTAGTATATTTTCTCGTTTCAGTCAAATTAATGTTTTAATGAAAACTAGACTTGGAGTTTGAAGGGATACGCATCTAAATCCTTATGGGGTCCAAAGCCGTCCAATTAGATAGAGATATCTATAATCTCTATGTATAAAAACGCGTCTTGATGAATAAAGACGAAATTCTGTTATTTCACTGCATAGTCCCCATTTTGTCAGTGTATTGCATGCACCAGAGAGTTTCTCTTTCATTTGATTTTGTAATTACTATATAGACCTCCCAAAGTCATTAAAGCAATATTGTTTTTTTCCTGGAAAATCTTTTCAGAAGCATTTTCTGCAGCAAAAATAAATGGCAGCAATGTCTATATATATATATATATCCTTATCAAATCTAGTGCTAGCTAGACAGACGTCCCATATCATTAAAGGAACATTTTTGTTTGTTTCCAAGGAAAATTTTCTGCAAGGAAAAAAAAATGTGGCAGGGAAGCAAGATCGTTATCTATTTATGTAAGATCTACTCAAAGAGCAGCTTGCAGTTGTTCTTTTACATGCAGGTTCATGAGCTGTGAAAGCTGTTAACAAAACGCATGCAATAAAAGACAACAAAATTAACCTTGCCAATAAGTCTTATATATATCAACAAAAAGAATGGCTCCTCTTCAATCGCCTACACTGTAGGCTTTGCAAATTCATGAAATAAGTACTTTTGCAGATTAATGATTCGATGAAACAATTGCCATTTTAACTAGGAAAAACTGAGATGAAGCACATGTAAAGATTGACTATCAAATTAAATTTTTGTAAATATATAAATATATATAGTTATAATAGGACATGATCAGATTGAAACACAGTGAGATCCTGGTGTGTCCCTTCATGTCAATGCATTAACAATATTTGCCTAAACACGGTGCCCATCTTTCATTAAAAATTTTCATGGAACCATTGTCTTGTAGGCCCATGTTTGATTAATTATACTTTGAAAACAATAAGAGATTGCAATAAGTAGGAAAAGAAAACCTACACGAGATTCATGAATGCAATGAATATAAAAAACGTGTTTCCGAATCAGGGTTTATATCATGATTAATTGTACTTAAAATATGTACGGTACCAATCCCAATAGTTTGTCTTTAAAAGATGAGCAACTTCATTATAGTTAACTCACTGTAGGGAGAAGGTAAGCTATAAAAGGGTCAAAAACAAAGCCTTTATAGCCCCACAAATTAAGAAGTTGAAAAAGGAAACCATCATTCATATTCGATCGGTCACCCTCAAATCTCAATAGATATTGAGTTGGGGCCTTCCTTTCTATGGATTATTATGAATGAAATGAACCCACCACCTTGTTTTCCCTGTTCAACATATTCGAAGGCCTTGTCATCGTTATAGTTTGAATGTTACCACGAGAGAGTTCGTTCATGGATTGTTTGCTCCCTTAAAATTTTATAAGGGAAAAAAGATCACCGTAACTCTGATACCACACCAATAAAAATAAAATAAAATAATTAATTAATTACACAAAAATAATAATTTAATATGATTCGATTAAATCGATTTATGTCTATTAGTGAGAAAAAAGATTTACTAATTGTAAAAAATTATAAACATACAATAAAATCAAGTATTTACAATTAATACTTATAGACCTTCTCAATCTCTTCTAGTCTCATAGAGTATTCTCAACCCAAACATACATATACCCTTATGCATTTATGCACCATACATATGTAGATGCTCTTAATCTTCTCTAATCCACTCACAAACTCATAAATATTCAAATATATATACTCATAATATGTAAATCTCTAGTAGTCATATAGAGTGTCTATCCCATAAAATCTTACAACTCTCATATATCTTTTTCTCATACCTAACTCTATAGAAACTTCACTTATTTATAAGCATATAAACTTGCCTATCAAGAAATTTTTTTTCTTAGAATTCTTTTTTTACAAGTCTTTTTATCCATCAAATAATATTTAGCCAATCTCAAATAAATTTCTTATGAGATTTGAGTCACTATTCTCAACAATATCTACCTTGACTCAAATTTTATCAAATCATCAATTTTTATATTAGACATATTTGGCTCTACTTGCAATAGAAGTCTTATAACAATCTTCTCTATGTCTTCATGTTTTCATGCAAATTGATCCTTCAAAATATGACTCGAACTCCTCCCTTAAATCGAGCTCTTCTGGGTTTTCTTTTCTCACGTTTCAAACTTTCAACTCTAATACCATTGTTAGGAATCACCATAGTTCTGATACAATTTATTAGGTTAAAAGGTCTCAATCCAATCACACCAATAGAAGCAAAATCAAATAATTAATAAATCACATAAGAGACAATAATTTAACATGATTTAGTCAAATCGACTAGTTCTATGGAGTATTATTAACAAACATACATATACCCATACGCATCCATGAATCATACTTATGTGTACCCTCTT